TTTAGGACCTAAATCCAGACCCAGGAAGCCCCCCAGGCCTCCCTGGCTTCAGAAGGGCAGGGTAGTGGCCAGCAGCAGTTACTATCCCCAGTGTTTGCTGGCAGCAAACATAGGCAGAGCCCTGCCTGGCCCCGTGGCCTCATTCAGATTTCTAAGATAACAGACGGAGTAGAAAGGACAAATTCAACTTCTTTGGAGCCCCCATCTCATGTCTTTAGCAGTTTCTTCTTTTCTTTGGCTGGGGTGGGGGTGGTGGGGTGGGAATGAGCACAACAATATTGCCAGATTTCTTTCAAAGCTAGAAAGAAAAGAACCCGGGCCCCATAGTGCGATGGATTTGCTCTGAAAGATGATGTAGGCCCTCATTCGTTAACTTTCTTCCCCTGTAGGCTCCAGAGGCAAGTTAGGACAGGGATGTGTTGGGGTCTTCCATGTCCCTCTTCTCCCCAGCTCCCTGCAGAATGGAGTGCATGAGCCTGGATGTCTTTCTTTGATCTCTTAAACCACATAAGAAAGAAAAGGAAAAGAAACACCTTTTAATTGAACATATAGTCATGTGGCAGGCATATATTGGATTTCTAAAGATCTAAAGACATAAGTATTATCATTTCTACTATACAGATGAGAAATGAAGCCTAGAATGTTACACTCCTTTTCCAATGTCAGACTGGAATGTATTTTATTTTAACTGGATGAATGCTCAGATGGACACGGACTGCATCTGTATGTGATCATATTAGAACATGCAGATTAGAAAGTGACGAGGAAATGCCTGGGACAGCCTTTCCACCCATACCTGTGGCAGACTTCATAAAAAGAGGACTGTGTTTTTTTTTTCCTTTCCAACCCAGAAATCTGGCTAATGTAGGGAAATCACTACAGATCAACTGAAGTGAACACGCAGGGGACACCTAGTGCCAGGGCAGCTGGGAGCAGTGGGCAGAGTGAAACTCCAGAGGCAGGCACGCACGTAGGGGCTGATTGATGGAGAGCACTGGCCTCTAGGTCTCTTTCTTAGGCTCTGTAAAAAGGGCGACACTACCGGAAGTCCTCGCAGCCTTTGGTAGATCACCTAAATAATTGAGAAGATACTATCCTCTGATAACAGTTTACTGCTAACTGTTCCATAGAATCGCTTACAGGCTCTGGATTCAAAAGAGAAAGGTTGCTTTAACACTAGGGATTCAATCTCTGTGGAAAAAAAAATAACTTACTCCTTAACAAGAGGTTAAGGCAGCTTTCTTTCTCTCTTTTTATTTATTTATTTTTAAATATATTTTTATTGATTTCAGAGAGGAAGGGAGAGGGAGAGAGCTAGAAACATCAATGATGAGAGAGAATCATTGATCGGCTGCCTCCTGCACACCCCCACAGGAGACCGAGCCCGCAACCCAGGCATGTGCCCTTGACCAGAATCTAATCTGCAACTCATCAGCCCGCAGGCCGACACTCTATCCACTGACCCAAACCAGCTAGGGCGCTCTCTCTTTTTAAAGGGATGATGGTGGGTAACCATCATATAATGCCTATTCTGCTTCTGCTTCTGCTTCTGTGTTGGACCTTCCTCTCTCCATCTCTCCATTTCTCTGTGCCCTACATTCTTTCTCTGCTTTTAGATATTAAAACCAACAACAATAATAGTAGCATTTATTAAATACCTAAATATGGCCCAAGCACAATGTTAGTCACATTACATACCTTATCAATCAAGTCCGTCAATGTTCTTACAACTTAGGTATTATCATTCCCATTTTACAGAGATTCTGAAGCTCAAGAACATTGCCCAGCCAGTGTGGCTCAATAGTTGAGCGTCAACCCATGCACCAAGAGGTCACAGGTTCCATTCCTGGTCAGGATACATGCCCTGGGTTGCGGGCTAGATCCTCAGCAGGGGGCATGCAGGAGGCAGCCAATTGATGTTGATGTTTCCCTCTTATCGATATTTCTATCTCCTTCTCCCTTCCTCTCTCTCTAAAATCAATTACAAACAACATTAAGCAAGTTCCCAAGGTCATGTGGTTTTTGAAGGCATCAGAACCAGTGAATCTGCTGGACTTCAACTCCACTATAACAATATAAATAAATGATGGTCTCAGAGTTTGGAATAACACATGTCTCTCTCTATTAAAACATTATACGCTCCCATCTCACCACCCAGAGTCACTGCTGACTAGTGTAATCGGTGGAGGTTGCACACTCAGAGGAGGAGACACTGGTGGTCTGTGCTGGTGGGAAAACCATCTAATCCAGGAGCAGGAAGACAAGTAAAAGGACTTCTTAGAGCCCTGCTTGCTTTCCTCCCCTGTCCCCATCTCCGGCTTCTGATCCCAGACCTATTTCAGCATCTCCGATCTCTCTGCTCAGCAGAAGCAATAATGTGACATGATGTGATCACATCCGGGAGCTAAATAAAGCCATTGTGTGAGGCCCAGCCCTGGCTGTTCCCTTGCATCATTTCCTAAGCGTGGGAGGCTAGGGGGCCTGGGAGAGAGCCGATAGAAGAGGAGGGAAACCAGCACAGCCATGGGCACCCCAGCTTGAGTTTCAGAAAATGGAGGAGAAATATCTCTGGGAGGGGGTTGAGGACAGAATAAAACGACTGGCATTCGAGCGCGCACGGGTGGAATTTAGGAAACAGGAAAGACTCAGAAATGGAATGAGGATATGAAGGAGAAGGAGCTCAATGGGTCCCGTTTTCCCAGAGGGCAGGGACAATGACCGAAATGACAGGGATGCTGGGAAAAGGGTAGATCCTTCCGAAGAGGCCAGAATCCAGTTGTTCTGCGGTGGAAAAGGAAGGGTGAGCTCTCAGGATCAGATCTGTCCACCTTCAGCCAGGGTGGCAGGGTACCATCTCTAGCAGGTGGCATCTCCAGGAAGAGGGAGAGGAAAAGGCTTCAGTTCACTGCATTTCATTGATCTTGCCAAATCCCGCCTTGCGGGCAGAACTGGGGCCGGGAGAGCAGACAGAGGCTGGGTACAGGGGGTGTACCCCAAGCAGTGTTTCCTCTTCCATGAGGTCACTGAATGCCAGACCAGGGTTCTCACAGCGCCCACTCAGTGCCCCTCAATTTCTGTCCTGTTCCCAGTCCCGTTCCTCCCTTCCTAGTGAGCACTTCCTTCTCTCCACGCCTGCTTCTCACAATACTTTCTGCGAACCCTCTTTACCCCCAAACCTTAGCGCTGGAAACCACTGGTTGGCAGGGCCCGGTCCCTGGCCCTCAGGCTCTGTCCTGCTCCCTGCAGATCTGCCCGCCCTGTTTGCAGCAGCACCTCAGACGGCAGGAGGCCCAAGTCTGATAACAAGGAGGGAGGCCTGGCCGGTGGGGCTCAGTGATTGAGTGTCGACCCAGGAACCAAGAGGTTGCAGGTTCAATTCCCAGTCAGGGCACATGCCTGGGTTTCGGGCTCCATCCCCAGTGGGGGCCGTGCAGGAGGCAGCCAATCAATGACGTTTCTGTCTCTCTATCTTTCTCCCTTCCCATCTCTCTAAAAGTCAATAAAAACAAAAACAAAACAAGGAGAGCGAGGATCTCTCGCGGTGGCTGCTAGGGTGCCCTCTACATTGCTTTCCGATGTTATGATCCTGGGTGGGCACAGGCCTCCCCTAGGCCTCTCCTTCTTTGTCCTTAGACTTGCCCTGAGAATGCTGCTGCAGAGGCCTGAGCACTTGTGGCCTTGTTTCCCCGGGGTAGCAGGCAAAAGCACATTCTCAGCACTCCTGGGGAGGGTGGGGCAGCGACCAGGTTGAAGTGAAAATTGTTGAGGGAACAATTTTCCAACCACCTGGACTCTCCCGGGTGGGGTGGGGCACCCAGATAACTTGGAGGAGGCTTGACACCCTCACGGAAAGCCGGGGAGGAGGCCGTTTTCTGACTCACGGCTTCCTGGTCCTCCCGGGTCCTCCCAGCACCTCAGCAGCTGGGGGTGGTTCCAGGAGAAGGGGAGCCTGGAGACTCGTTCTAGCAGAAGTGCCAGAGCCTGGACCTGGAAGCCAGGTGCTCAGAGGAATGCAGTCAATGTGAGCGCCCTCCCACCCTGCCCTCCCCTCACTGCCTTGGTGCTCTGGTATTTGGTACTTCTTCCTGGAATGGGCTTATCATTTGCAACTTTAAGAGCACCTGAGGGTTCTTACCTCTGAGACACACGGAGGCCAGCCCTGGTGGCAGCCACAAGTGTTGGGCAGTGAGAACAATGCCCACCTGGGAGAGAGAAGGAACTGCAGGTCGGTCATGATGTTGGAGCCCTTCTCTCTGCTCCCTGGGAGGGGCCATCATGGTGTTTTACTCCCCCGATGACCAGTCTTAGAAGAAAGCACAATACTTCCTCACGCATGAACCTTTCCTTCCCACTGCTTTACCTGCCCGGACGCCTCCCTCTCCAAGTTGGCCAAATCCTAACCACTACACCCCTCGAAGCCCATCTCAAAGGCTACCCACTTCCTGCTGTGTCCCTTTTTTTGAGTCCTCCAACTGGGTACATGCACGCATTCCTTGGATGGCACAGAGCCTTTTGTTAAAACTTCTCTCGTGGCATTTGGCATACTCTGACCAGTCATTTGTGTCTTTGTCTGTACACACACACAGACACACACACACACACACACACACACTTGCACATGTGCACACGTGTCACTCACTAGACTGTGAATTCCTTGAGGACAGGAACAATATCTATGTCCCTTTGCTTGGCTTGGCTTCCTGCCACAGAGCTGCTCACTAAATGGAATAGCAATGCGTGGCGAGGATGTCATTATGAACTGGAGAGAACACTATACGGGGAGTCAGAAAACCCAAGTCCCGACCTTGGCTCTGCAGTGAATTCCGGGTGTGATCCTCAGCCAGCCATTCTCCAATCCTGTGGCTCGATGCGCTAGGCCTGGCTGACTGTGACACCTTTCTAGTTCCAGGGTTCCAGAGTTCTAGAACTCTGCTCACCCTTCTCCGTCTTCTTGACTCAGACTGGCCTGCGTGTGCCTTCCATGAACAGAGACGTCCCAGAGGTGCCCCTCACAGGTGGAGACCTGGTGCCCCAAGGCCACACTCGCCGCTGCCTGTCTGTGGTTGAATCCAGAGAGCAGCTGGAGGAAGAGGAGGAGGAGGAGGGGAAAAAGAAGGAGAGAGATGGCTTCCACGCTGTACCGCTCCGAAGATCGGGGGCTTTCCGTGCCCATAACCACAGCTATGACCCCTTCAAAAGACATAGTTGGGGGCCAGACAGGGAGCCCCAGGATCAACTGAGCAGGTAAATCCCCAGGGGCCTCCTGTCCCTACTTCCCTTAAGTCCGAGACCTGGTTCAAAAGGAATGACTCCCTCGTTCCTTCTCTGGGGGCTTAGAACCCAGGCCTATGTGAGCCCTTGGGAAAGGGGGACCCTGCCTTTCAAGATGTGGCTTTCCCTGGTGTTTCTAGATCAGCGGTTCTCAACCTGTGGGTCGCAACCCCTTTGGAGGTCGAACGACCCTTTCACAGGGGTCGCCTAAGACCATCGGAAAAACACATATGTAATTACATATTGTTTTTGTGATTAATCACTATGCTTTAATTATGTTCAATTTGTAACAATGAAATTGGGGGTCACCACAACATGAGGAACTGTATTAAAGGGTCGCGGCATTAGGAAGGTTGAGAACCACCGTTCTAGGTCCTTCTTTCTCCCTGGTCTCAAGGGCACGTGGGGGAGGGAATAGAGAAGGGGAGGTACAGGCCTGGGGTATCAGGACACTTGGGTCTTGTAGCTTCCATCTCCCACCTTGGATTGAAAAGAACCATACGACGGTTCAGTGCTGAAAGGGACTCCAGGGTCATATGGTCCCGTTTCCTCATTTTACAGATGAGGAAACAGGCCCAGGGAACCGTGGGAGGTTTCTTGAGAGAAGTGGTTCTAGGGTTGGGGCCTTGAGCCAGCCCCTTTCCCAAACGGCTGCCTCCTTGCTGGTTCCCGGCTGAGGCAGACTCAAGGTGTCTTGGACCTCATAGTGCAGTCCTGCCATGAGAGAAGAGTGGCTCTCACTCAGAGGTCTGCGTATGCCTGGCAGACCAGTAGAGAGGGACCCAACCCCCCCGCCCCCCGCCCCCTGGAAAAATCCCTGACCACTTCCCCCAAAACAGAGGAAGTCAGAAAGAGAAGGCCCCGGGGTCAGCATGAAGAGTTCAGTGTGAGTGGTCACGGTGAGCGCCTGCTAGCGATGGAAGGGCCCTGTCTCTCTGCGTTGGCACTGGTTCCCTGGCACAGGTTCTCTTAGCTCTGGTGAGTAGACCCACCTCTTCTGGCTCTTGGTCAGGGCTGGCTGAGCAAATGAGGGGAGAGGACCCTGCGCCTTGGGCCAGAACTGGAGCGAAAAGCCTTGCCTGCCGGGCCCGTGGCACTTGCCTAAGAGCAGCCCGCCGAAGGCAGCGATGCCCTGGGTAGCCCTTACGTGGTGCTAACTGTACCTCAGGCCTTCCAGGTGTCTCCTTTCGCGATCAGGCATTCATTCTGCTCCCGGGGCAGAGAGAGAAGGGATCTCTGGATACATCGTCTAGATTAGCAGGGACAAAAGTTGTCGTTAGAAAGCAGACAGGGAGTGAGAGTCCAGCTTGCTCTTTGCCTCCCCCGGGGCACTGGCTTTCTTCTGGAGGGCAGTACTGCCGCATGTCCACCAGGGGTCACCCTTGCCTGCAGCCAGCCCTGCAGCTCCTCCAAAGCACAGCTCCAAAGAGAGGGAGGCCAGTTTGAGTCAGGGCTGTGCCTGTGCCAACAGGAAGGGTTGGGCTGGGGGCAAGCAACAGGGCTGGGCTGAGGCCGTTTTCCTCTCTTGTGCCCATCACTGGCCATTGGGTACAGAGGGCAGTGGTGGCCATGTGTGTTTCAGGAGCAAACTGCAGGCTTCGGGATGCGCTGGGGCCCAGGAGACTCCCTTACTGCAGAGCCAAGAGGACCTGGGCACTTCTCTGGAACCGCAGCACCAAGGTGGCCAGCCTTCCAGTGCGGTATGGACAGACACATTCCCAGGGAGCCCCTCCCCTCCCTGCCCCTGGCCTTTCCAGCCATCACTCTGTGCCTCCTCTGTTCTGCCAGCTGCCCAGGCATCACTCCATCTGACTGACTCTGAGTCTCTTGTCTGTACCCCTCTGTCTGCTCCCTGCGTCTGCATGCCGAGTGCCCCACTCTTGGTCGCCTGCCTCTGTCTCTTTGCTCTGAGACTCTCTGTTCCTTCCTTGCTGGGTCTGGGTCTCTGTGTCGGTGTAGGAATCTCTATTCCTCTCTCATTAAAAGGCCCCTGTTCCCCTAATTGTTAGAACCGCTTCTCCGATTTGAAGCTGGACCTATTATTTGTGGGAGGAGACTAGGTCTCTGGTACCCTGAGAGACAAGAGTTCTCCCGCAAGATAATCAGAAGATTATTAAATGAGAAATAGAGAGATTGCCCAGTCTTCTGGCTTAAGGGAACACAACTTGGGGATCTCAAACCAGGACCCACAGACCACCGAGGGTACATTAGGGCTGTAGAGGCCCCACTTGGTCAGCCAGCTACGAGTGCCTCACAGAAATGTCTCAAGCCCCGTGACTAAGAGGCTGCCTCCCTCCCAGCTCTTCCTCCAGCTGGCCAAGGAGCCCAACCCCAGCCTCCTCCTTCGATGCCTGTGGAGTAGGAGAGGCTGAGAGAAAGGAGCTGTTGCATGTTACAGCCTATCAGGGGAGCAGCAAACCCCAGCTCCCCCCTCACCTGCTTTTCCCCATCAGCACCCTGCATGTCTTCCTTGCCTCCATATCAATCTGGTAACGTAGAAAGAACAGGGTTTCCGAACCAAACTGACTCCTAGATCCTTCATTTACCAGCTGAACACTTTATTTCATCTTCCTGAAAATCAGGATCATAAAAACGACCTTTTAAAGGTGTGATTCTTAGATGACAAAAAGTTGTCAAAGTGCCCGGTACAGAGGCTGGCGTACAGGATGAGCGTGAGAAATAACCGTTTCTTTTCCCTCTTCTCTGCTCCATTCCTTCAGACTGCTTTCCCTCTCTCCCGCCTTTCTCTTCTCCTGCCCACTTCGCCCCTTATTGGTACGATATGTCTTCTTCTTTCCCCCACTGGATACAGAGGGCAGTGGTGGCAATGTTTTTCTAGTGTTTTTCTCCGCCTTCCTGCTCTGATTCCCCTCCTCTCTCCATCTAATCTTTAAGCCATCCCCTTATATTTCTCCTTCTCTATATGTTTGGGGTCTTTTTGTTTCTTCCTGCAATAGCAAGTGAGTAGAAGTTCTTCACCAAAGTCCACAGACCAAAAGTCTGAGACTCCTTAAGCTAGACTGGGGCTTGCAGACTGAGGGCCATGGTCTAGCCAGGTCTAGCTCCAAGATTTATTTTGTTTGGCCAGCATGGTGCTTCCACTTTTAAAAATGCAGACATCCTTAAATGGGACCTGTGCTCTCCAGTTTGCCAGAGTTGCTAATACTTTCTCTTGTATTTTTTCATTTATATTTTATTTTAAATTATTTTTTAAATATATTTTTATTGATTTCAAAGAGGAAGAGAGAGGTAGAAACATCAATGATGAGAGAGAATCATTGGTCAGCTGCCTCCTGCACACCCCACACAGGGGATTGAGCCTGCAACCCGGGCATGTGCCCTGACCGGGAATTGAACCGTAACCTCCTGGTTCATAGGTCGACACTCAACCACTGAGCTACACTGGCTGGGTCATTTGTCTTTTAAACATAATATTTAAAAATGAATGCCCAATAAATCAACCACCCATCTCAAGAGCCAGAACATCACCAATACATTTATCTTTACTTATGTCTTCCTCTCTTATTCCCTTGGCTCCCATAGAGGCAACCACTATCTTGATTTTTCTTTATCATTCATTTAATTTTTAAAATAGTTTTAACACAAATATATGCATCCCCTAATATTACATTATTTTTTTTGCTTCTGAATTTAAAAACAATGATGTTATAGTATACACATTGTTCTATAATTTTCATTCAACATTCTGTTTCTAATTTTTATCCCTGTGTTGCAAAAAGTTATAGTTCATTCGTTTTCATTTCATTCTTCTGTTGATGGACATTTGGATAATTTCCATTCTTTGCCATTATGAAGTACATTACTATGGAATCATCATCATCATAAAAGAATGAAATGCTTGCCATCATAGTGGATTCTTAAGCTCGTGCTCCACGTATGCGGCGTGCTAGCTGGCTGTTTGGGCATAATGGTTACATGTTTGGCGTGGATAGCACACAGATTGGTGTCTTCAGAAAGGCCAACCAGATAGGCCTCACTTGCCTCCTGCAAAGCACCGATAGCTGCGCTCTGGGAGCGCGGATGTTTGAAGTCCTGAGCAATTCCTCGCATCAGAGGCTGGACGGGACATTTGCAAATCAGAAGTGCAGTGGACTTCCAATAACGTCTAATATTTAAGGAAGTGCCACAGAACCGGGCCTGTAACGACGAGGTCTCTTCACCCCTCCAGTAGAGGGCGCACCCTTTGGAGTGGCTTTGGTAGCCAGTTGCTCTACTACGTTCGGGCAATTTGTGGGCAGTCTACTTTGTAGGAGCCTTGCTATAGAGACCGCTTTACTTACCCCCTTCTCGTTGGGATGGAACTCTGTGAGTTAGATGCTGCATTGATGCTAGAGAGCAAGGGCTGCAAACACCAGCTTGTCTTTTTCTTACTGATTTGTAAAAGTCCTTCATATATTCTGGATTTGAGTCTTTTGTCAGATATGTGTATTTTGAATATTTTCTCCCAGTGTGCATTTTTACTTTTAAAAAATAGTTTTATTGATTTCAGAGAGGAAGGGAGAAGGAGAGAGAGATAGAAACATCAATGATGCAAGAGAATCATTGATCAACTGCCTTCTGCACACCCCACACTGGGGATTGAACCTGCAACCGGAGCATGTGCCCTGACCAGGAATTGAACCATGACTTCCTGGTTCATAGGTCGACGCTCAACCACTGAGCCACGCTGGCCGGGCTATCAAAGATTCTTTATCCAATCTACTGGAAAGGGACTTCTGGGTTGTTTCCTATGATCTCAATGACACAGACTATTTGAATTTATTAAAATTTGCCTTATGGCCTGATATTTGGTCAGTTTTTTGATGCCCCAAGTAGGCTTGGGATAAAGGTATTTTCTAATGGTTGGGTGTGTGGTTTATAAATATTTTTATTCCTTATTGTCTTAAACCCAGATGATCTCAGTTTTTCTCCTTACATGTCTGGCCTCCATAGGTTGAGTTTGTCATCTCTGGAAACCATTCAGGGTAAATCTTTTCTAAGACGTTTTCTATATTAAGGAAGCCTGGGCTTGAGTTGCACAGTGGTGACTAGTAACTAGCAGAAGAACTTCCCAGTTATTTCAATGGAATATCCCAGATATGGATTGTGATGGTGATGGGGGAGGGGGTGAAAGGCTTGAGGCCCTGAAGATGGGCCATGTTGTGCGGGAAAGTGAAAAATGGGGAGTAGGGGAGACGGATGAAGCCTAACCTTTGTATGAGGATTCTTGACGTGATTCTAGGGTCAGGGTTCCTGTCATCCATCTCCTGGCCCTTTGGACCACTCAGCCACTGGCATGCTGTCGAAGTCTGTCTCCATGAGTGGCATCAATTGCTTCTGGAGTGGCTCAGATCCAGCCGGTGAGTCAAAGTGGGGAGCAAAGCAGTGGTAGCTCCCCCTGTCTGTCTCACCACCACTCCTCAGGGTGAGCTATTGAGGGTTCAGATATATCCTGGGTTATATCTAACTCTAATTTGGAAACTTCAAAATGCCTTTATTTCAATGAGAGATTTGAATTCAGGACTCTGGCATTCTGACACTCTCCTTCCAGTGAAGGAGAACATAGGACACCCGAGGCTCTCCAGCCTCCCTTATCGCCAGAGATGGAGGACAGTTAACTGCAATGCACCTTGTCCTCAAGATGAGGCATTGGGAGCTCACCGTGAAACCGCTGTCCGCCCCATTCACCAGAAACATGACAGAGACACGGAGTCCTCCGCCCCCTTCTCCACAGAACCCTGGCGCCCTGTTTCCCTGGCTCCCAAGTTCTTCAGCTCTGCTCAGACCCCGCCCTCCCTCCCTACTCCCCAGAGCGCACCCTCAGGAATGGCGTCACATGCACCTGCAGCTTGGGAACCTGATCCAGGTGGAGGGGGTGGGGGAGGCAGCCCTGGACGCCTTTGTCTGGCTTCAGCTGGACACTTCTCGTCTCCTTTTGTGTTGGCAGGAAATTTATCCCAGTCCTCTGCTGCTAACTTCAGCCAAAGGTAAGTTTGGGGAGATCTGGAGTCCTTCAAAGGCCTAGATGGGGGAGGGTCAACGCTTCCTAAACATTGCTCCCCTTAACATTTCTGATCCAAGACCTCCAAATACCTTCCTCCCTGAGCTGCATAGAATGGACCCAGGGAAGGCTCCGGCAGGTTCTGGTAGCCCATGGGATGGGGAAGACATTAAAGAAAGAACAGGAGTATCCAGACGACAGGGTGTCCGTTAAATAAAAGAGAGAGCTGCTAGTTGTCAGTGCCAGGAAGGTGAGCAGGCAGACGGGCTGTTAGACAGTCTTAGGGAGAGACAGTGAGGGAGAACCACGAATGAATCAGCTTCGATGGCTCAGGTAATTGACCAATGGGCAGTGGCTCTAAGGAGAACCCCCAGGGGAGAGGGCAGAGGGCAGAGGCTGAAGGCATAGTTCAGGAATCCGGGCGAAGGCTGGGCGAGTTCATCGGCTATGCCAATAAGCATGCAAAATCAGCACCTGTTTATTTGGCGCCTGCAGCTGAAGCCTGATGGGAGTGGGTCAGCCCTCTAAGACAGGGCGGGTGTGAGAGCTGGTCATGGGCCCTTTAAGATGTCAGGCTCTGATTTGCGGTCCCAAAATCTCTAGCTGACACATCCTCCTGGCTCTGGCTTTGGGATTAGCTCATGGGATGGGGCTGATGAAATCCCAGGAAATTCAGTCCTTACTGGCGTTAGGCCCAGAGGCCCTTTCCAAACAGCGGAGGGGGTCCTACACAGGGCTCTTGTTTAGGAGGGGAAAATGCCGCCCCAGAGAGCTCCCACCCCATATCGCTACCGCTGGGAGCAGCCTGAGAGAGAAGATTGGGCCTGGATGAAGTAGGGGGGTGTCTGCATTTATCTGGGAGGAGCCTGGCGTTTTCCTCATAAATAGAGGGGCCTGGAAAACTAGCCCTTCACACCCAGGAAGTCCTAGGAGGTGGGGGTGGGGAGTGTCTTTCTCTCTGAGTCCTTCCTTTATCTTCCTCACCCTTTTTCTGCGTCTTTCCCCTCATATCTCCACTCTCTTTCTCCTTATCATGGCACCTCCATCCACCATCTCTCTGGGAGTATCTTTTCACCTCTGCCTTCTCTTTCTGCAGCTGTAGCCAACTGGAACGCGGTTCGGACACCTGGGTAGGCTCCTCCCTGCGACGAACCTTCAGCTTCCTCTGGGGCATGACCGGCAAGGCCAAGGTAAGAGTCAGCTGGGGAAGTAGGCGGCCTGGGACCCGCTGCCTCTCCAGCTCCCTTCCTCCCCACCCCTGGTAGACAGAGACTCAGGGCAATGTTCAAGTGTTAAGGGAACACATGCTGCCTCTCCCAGCCTTCCTGCTGCAGTCCAGTAAACCGCCTTCCCTCTGTTTTCCCCGTGCCTGCAGCTTAGCAGCCAGCTGTGGACAGCTGGACGAGACAAGAGCCTCAGCAGCTGCAGGGTGGACTAGCCCTCCTTTCCTTTAGGCCTCACATAGCTAAGAGGTGGGCAGCAGAAATCATAACCATTGGGCATAATAATAATAGTTACAGCAACACTGTACTTCATTTTTTAAAATATATTTTTATTGATTTCAGAGAGGAAGGGAGAGGGAGAGAGATAGAAACATCAAGGATGAGAGAGAATCATTGATTGGCTGCCTCCTGCACGCCCCCCACGGGGGATCGAGTCCCCAATCTGGGCATGTGCCCTTGACCAGAATCGAACCCAGGACCCTTCAGTCTGCAGGCTGATGCTCTATCCACTGAGCCAATCCAGCTAGGGCTACTCTTTACTTCTTCGTAGAGTATTAGCATTTATGAAATGTTTTAAAATTCATAATTTTATAGGTGGATACGGCAGCAGCAGGAGTTGAAGTTAGACTATAGGCACATCGCCCGTGGAAGGCCATGTGCAGTTCTAACCCTGGGCAGGTGCCGGCACATTGCTCTCTTTCTTATTACCAACCTCTGGGCTCTGGTGAAGCTGGGAGGTCTGCCTGCTATTCGAATTTGTATCCACTTTCTTCATTTTCTGAGCCACCCCGCCCCCCTTTTCTTCTGGTGGCCTCCCCAATTATACATGTACTTTCCGCCTCAAGGTGGCTCCTGAGCATTGAGAGACACCCAGAGCAGTCATCATCTATCCACTTGGAAGAATCATAGGAGTCTCCCCTAGGAAGGTTGTCCAGGCTCCTTCTGGCCCCTCCCACAGAGCCAGGGCTCTCTCCTCTGCCTGCCTTTTAGCCAAGATTCCCCTTCCTCTGGGCGGACAGGGGAGGCAGAGACAAAGCCAGGTGGTTAGCACCTTCTCACTACTGGCAAAAGTGGGGAGTTGAGGCTTGAGACCAAGTAATCTGAGAAGAGGAGGAGCAGGCGGGCGGGGAGGGGATCCTAAAGCTGGGGGGAGGGGAGGGAGGCAGGGCAGTGAGGCCTGTCCTCTCCATGGGGGAGCAGAGCTCTTTAAAGAACAAAGCCAACTTGAGGCCTTGGGTCTGAGTCCCATCTTCCCACGGGCGCTCTGGTTCAGTTCAGGGCTTGAGAGTCGCTGGCAGAACCACCCTCTTTCCCCGCAGTTGTTTGCCCACTCTTGATCTAACAGTTTGTCGACGGGTTGAGTAACCCGGTGAAGGGGAATGTGGGCAGAGACTTTGGAGTCCAGACAGGCAGCAGGAAAGCGCCAGAGTAAGTCAGACATTGTCCCATGTGGCCTTTCCTCACGCGGCCTCTGGTCCTGTGGTCCTGTTTCCCGCTCTGTCATCTGGTCCATCTTCCTTCCACCTTCATGAATGTGTGTGTCTTTCACCGAATCTCTTCTCCCCCTTCCTCCCAGCTCAGGATAAGGGGCCGTGAGGAGGTAAACACCAGGGGTGGGGCTGGAGAGCCGCTCAGTCAAGCAGCGAGAGAAGGAAGTGGCTTATTCCTTCCTATTTGACTAGCATTGTAGGGCTGACAAAACGCTTTTCCAGAGGTCATCTTATTTCATTCTTATAACATCCTGGGAAAGATAAATATTTTAATCTCCAGTTCTCAGGCAAGATAATTTAGAGCCTAAATTGCCTCTGCTTGTCAGTAAAGCTAACATAACAGTTTATCCCCTTTCTTCCCTCCTTCTTCCATCTTCTGATGGATGGCCACTGGAGTCAGTTATGTCTTAACGATCCTTCCCAGAATGCACAAGGTCCAGAGTAATAATAAGAAAAGCAAGCTTCCTCCTGGGCACTGGAGTGCTTGGGCCCAGGTATCCCTGAGGCTCCATCTGTTCACTTACTCGCCATGACTCGGACTCTAACAATCAGGTTCTTCTCTAGATGGTCTTCCTACCCATGAAATGTGGAGGACACACCTGTTGAGTTAAATGAGCTAAAGAAGGTAGTGGCCACTTTTATTTATTCATTTGTAAAATATTTTTTATTGATTTCAGAGATGAAGGGAGAGGAGGAGGAGAGAGATAGAAACATCAATGATGAGAGAAAAATCATTGATCGGCTGCCTCCCGCACCCTACACTGAGGATCAAGCCTGCAGCCGGGGCATGTGCCCTGACCGGGAATGGAACGTGACCTCCTGGTTCATAGGCTGATGCTCAACCACTGAGCCATGCCGACTGGGCTAAATTTAGTACATTCTTCAGCCTTGGCTGCCCACTGGGGTGGGGGTAAGTAAATCGGGGTTCTGAGCCTGGGAGCCTCTGGACTACTGGTTTGGGGGAGTTCCTAGGGCCTTTCAGGAGGTCGCCCCCGCAGGTGCGCTCCTGGAGGAATCAGCTTCTCTCCTGGCCCTGGAGAAGTCCTTTCTGCTTTCTCTTCAGTCTAGAACAGGCATGGTTCCTTCCTTTCCTTTTTTCTGGTCTTTGCTATATAAGGATCCTAACAGGGGAATGGGTGAAGAAGGAGGTGAAGGAGTTGCTAGGCAGAGGGGAAGCCAGAGGAGCACTGTGGGGGTGGTGCTGTGGGTGAGGAGCCCAACTAGCTCAGCCAGTGGTGAGGCAGTGGAGCCCGAAATAGTGGCAGCAGCTAAAATTGGCACCTACAAGAGTGCTGAGTTGGGCTTCAGACCTGCAGCCTGCCCTTCTGCCCAGCGAGCAGGTCCTGGGAGCCGCTCAGTCTGGGTTGGCTCAGTCTGCCACTATTTCGGGCTTCCTCCCTCCTTCCCCCACACCTTTTGGGACTAGAACTGGTCAGGCCTCTGCAAACAGGGGATGGATGCTCTGTCTCAGGGCATCCCATGCTTCTGGTTTCTCCAGAGGTGGGAGACCCTGGGAGGCAGAAATGAGCTGCACGGTGAGTGGGTGTAGCTAGGAGTGGAGGAGGAACTTTCCCAGCAGCAGGAAGCTCACCAGAGGTGGAGGGTGCCTCCGGGGCTGGCGCCCCATCCCCCTTCTCGTGGAGAGACTGGCCATACCCCAGCTGCCCCTGACTGGCACAGGCTGGTTTCTGGTCTTCTGGGTCTGGCCTCACTTGCAACAGAAAGGACTTCCTTAGCTTCTTAGCGTTCAGGTAGTGAATTCCTCTCCACCCTCAAGTATTTGGCAGGGGCGGAGGCAGGAGGGGAGGTGAATGGACGGAGTGCGGTCAGAAGGCCGCAGAGGGGTGGAGCTTGCAGAAGAATTCTCCCCGCTCCCCTCTGTTTTCCGGAGGTGAATCCTCTCCTTCACGCCTTCCAAACACCCAGCCTCCAGTTCCCCTTCGACTTCCCCGCCCTCTCTCCACCCCGACCCCCAATTGTCAGGGGAGCCTGTCATCTCCGGCCTGTTTGCTTTGAAGGGCCCAGGGCCGGGAAGGAGCCGGTGGCCGGTTCCCTGGGGACCTGGGGGCGCTGGAACCCTCCGGCCTGCGGGTCTCTGAGTCCTGCAGCAGGGAGGATGGAGGGCGGAGGATCTGGGCTGGGACTGGGCTGCGGGGCTGGGCAGGGCAGGGCAGGGAGCGGTGGCTTTTTGGAAGAGGAGAGCTCAGAGGCCGATCCCTGGGGCTCGAGGCCGCTCCAGGCGCTGGAGGGGACCCTCCACTTGTCCCTGGAAACGCGCTCACGGCTCTGCGCTGCCCCAGTCCAGACCCAGCAGTTGGTGCCGGGGGCACCCGCCCTGCTCTGCCCCGCCTCCCCCTTCCTGCGCCTGGGCGGGGGGTGGAGACTCTGGTTTGAGGAACTGGCGCCGGTGCTGCGAGGGGAGTCCGACTTCCTGTCCCCTGAGCTACGCGTGCGGGGCAGCCCGTCCCCCGCCACCCCCACAATAGCTGGACGCCGGGGCCCCCAAGTGTCCCTCTGGCCCCCCCTCATCGGGGGATTATGTCTCGGATCGAATCCCTCACGCGGGCGCGGATCGACCGGAGCAAAGAGCTGGCGAGCAAGGTGGGCTTGGCGACCCCTCCCCTCCACCCCTGTCCCCAGGGCACCCCTCAGCCCCCGCCCACAGGCGCCCCCCCCTCCCCCGGTCGCCCCGCACCGAAATCGGGGAGCATCCACCGGGCAGGAGGCGGGCTGGCTGGGTGGTGACTGAGTAGCTGGAGTCATTGGGGAGGGGGTGGGGGCCGGGGACAGACCTTGCTCCACCTCCACCTCCACCTCCACCTCCCCGCCGGGTCTGGGGAGAGCGCGGGCCAGGTATCGGTGGCCTCCGATCCGATCGGCGGACCGGGTGCTCGGGGCCTCACGAAAGAAAGTTACTCGGGTAAGGGACAGAGCGGGAGGAGGGGTGCATCAGGGTGGGGGTGGCGAGAGCTGGTGGCACCCCCTGAGCCTGGCT